GTTCCCTATATTGTTAATGTCTACAATGTTCCTTCTATTGTCAGTGTCTACAATGTTCCCTCTATGGTGAGTGTCTACAATGTTCCCTCTACTGTATATTCACACCAATGACTACAGCAGACTGTATAATCCCCTTCTGTGTCATTCAAGCCGTGATATTTCATAGCCTCATCATCAGTCAATAACCCCTGCATAATCCTTATTGGCAGATATACCACACTGGGGCACATTTGCTTTGCATGAGGTATTCTAACAACTTCTTGCCTATCAAATATAACTTTTGACTTTTACAACCTAATGCTAACGGAATATTCTGATAATATTGTGCCATGATGGACAACCACGGAACTATCAAGGAATATTCATTGATTCTGATTCAGAATTGATGCTTACAGATCCCGGCCTGAATCAGAATAATGGGACAATAAATTTGTTCTCTCTAATCGAAATGAAAACATGGATGACATCAAGAGTTTATTACTGTCAAATTGTCTGATGAATATAAATGTACTCCCATAAGACTAAAACAGTGTGCATACATATGTTCCATGAAAGTCAGTAGTGTTAGCAAAACATAGCAAAGGGATACTGGCACCAGGACTAACTCAACACAGACCATCAGGGCTAGCAAAGCACACACCATCAGGACCAACTCAACACAGACCATCAGGACCAACTCAACACAGACCATCAGGGCCAACTCAACACAGACCATCAGGGCTCCCACAGCACAGACCATCTGGGCTACCACAGCACACACCATCAGGACAAACTCAACACAGACCATAGGGCCAACACAACACACACCATCAGGGCCAACACACACCATCAGGACCAACTCAACACAGACCAGCAGGGCCAGCACAACACACACCAGCAGGGCCAGCACAACACACACAATCAGGGCCAACACAACACACACCAGCAGGGCCAGCACAACACACACCAGCAGGGCCAGCACAACACACACTATCAGGGCCAACACAACACACACCAGCAGGGCCAACACAACACACACCATCAGGGCCAACACAACACACACCATCAGGGCCAACACAAGACACACCAGCAGGGCCAGCACAACACACACCATCAGGGCCAACACAACACAGACCATCAGGGCCAGCACAACACACACCATCAGGACCAACTCAACACACACCATCAGGACCAACTCAACACAGACCAGCAGGGCCAACACAACACACACCATCAGGGCCAGCACAACACACACAATCAGGGCCAACTCAACACAGACCATCAGGGCCAACACAACACACACCATCAGGGCCAGCACAACACACACCATCAGGGCCAACACAACACACACCATCAGGGCCAACTCAACATACACCATCAGGGCCAGCACAACACAGACCATAGGGCCAACACAACACACACCATCAGGGCCAGCACAACACAGACCATCAGGGCCAACTCAACACACACCATCAGGGCCAACTCAACACACACCATCAGGGCCAGCACAACACACACCAGCAGGGCCAACACAACACACACCATCAGGGCCAACTCAACACACACCATCAGGACCAACTCAACACACACCAGCAGGGCCAACTCAACACAGACCATCAGGGCCAACTCAACACACACCATCAGGGCCAACTCAACACACACCATCAGGGCCAGCACAACACACACCAGCAGGGCCAACACAACACACACCATCAGGGCCAACTCAACACACACCATCAGGGCCAACTCAACACACACCATCAGGGCCAGCACAACACACACCAGCAGGGCCAACACAACACACACCATCAGGGCCAACTCAACACACACCATCAGGACCAACTCAACACACACCAGCAGGGCCAACTCAACACAGACCATCAGGGCCAACTCAACACAGACCATCAGGACCAACACAACACAGACCATCAGGGCCAACTCAACACAGACCATCAGGACCAACACAACACACACCATCAGGGCCAGCACAACACACACCATCAGGACCAACACAACACACACCATCAGGGCCAGCACAACACACACCATCAGGGCCAACACAACACACACCATCAGGGCCAGCACAACACACACCATCAGGGCCAACACAACACACACCATCAGGGCCAGCCCAAGCATGAACACAACAACCACAATCACAGCACCCCCGATGCAGTATTGATTCTCCACACATCACTCATCAGCCCCAATATTGCAACTACCGGTTTTTGTCCTCCATTTGTATTTTGAAATGTGTGCTGAATCTGCATGCTGCATCTCACTTTCTGCAATATTGCCCAACAGGGTGAAGTGTGCCAACTTTGTAATGGTCAGGAAATTTGTGAATATATTTCACAGACACCAGTGCCTGGATCACAACTTCAGCTCTCAGTGTACATGAGCTAAAAATGGTGTTCACATAACGTCTCTTTTCAGAATACCGTACTATATATGTTTATATATATATATATCGTTGCAAAAATAAAATATTGAAATTGTCAGGCAATTTGGTTGAAGTTGCATCACACACAATATATGAAACTCTTTTTCAATAATAGAAAAATAAAAGTCAAACAGAGGGGCTAGATTCATTCCTTACATTTGGAAAAACATAAACTTAAACTAAAGTCCAAATTGGATGAATCCTTATTCCTCTTCCTGCACACACTCTCTGAGACATTCACACACACAGCTCCTGGGTAGTACACACTGTCTGAGACATTCACACACACACACAGCCCCTGGGCAGCACACACTGTCTGAGACATTCACACACACAGCCCCTGGGCAGCACACACTGTCTGAGACATTCACACACACACACAGTCCCTGGGTAGCACACACTGTCTGAGACATTCACACACAGCCCCTGGGTAACACACAATGTCTGAGACATTCACACACACAGCCCCTGGGTAGTATATACTGTCTGAGACATTCACACACACAGCCCCTGGGTAGTATACACTGTCTGAGACATTCACACACACAAACACACACACACAGCCCCTGGGCAGCGCACAGTATCTGCAATATTCACACACACAGCCCCTGGGTAGCACACACTGTCTGAGACATTCACACACACAGCCCCTGGGTAGTATACACTGTCTGAGACATTCACACACACAGCCCCTGGGTAGCACACACTGTTTGAGACATTCACACACAGCCCCTGGGTAGTATACACTGTCTGAGACATTCGCACACACACACACACACACAGAGTCCCTGGGTAGCACACACTGTCTGAGATATTCACACACAGCCCATGGGTAGTATATACTGTCTGAGACATTCACACACACAGCCCCTGGGTAGTATACACTGTCTGAGACATTCACACACACAGCCCCTGGGTAGCACACACTGTCTGAGACATTCACGCACACAGCCCCTGGGTACCACACACTGTCTGAGACATTCACACACACAGCCCCTGGGTAGTATACACTGTCTGAGATATTCACACACAGTCCCTGGGTAGTACACACTGTCTGAGACATTCACACACACAGTCCCTGGGTAGTATACACTGTCTGAGACATTCACACACACAGTCCCTGGGTAGCACACACTGTCTGAGACATTCACACACACAGTCCCTGGGTAGTATACACTGTCTGAGACATTCACACACACAGTCCCTGGGTAGCACACACTGTCTGAGATATTCACACACAGTCCCTGGGTAGCACACACTGTCTGAGACATTCACACACACAGTCCCTGAGTAGTATACACTGTCTGAGACATTCACACACACAGTCCCTGGGTAGCACACACTGTCTGAGACATTCACACACACAGTCCCTGGGTAGCACACACTGTCTGAGATATTCACACACAGTCCCTGGGTAGTATACACTGTCTGAGACATTCACACACACAGTCCCTGGGTAGCACACACTGTCTGAGACATTCACACACACAGTCCCTGGGTAGCACACACTGTCTGAGACATTCACACACACAGTCCCTGGGTAGCACACACTGTCTGAGACATTCACACACACAGTCCCTGGGTAGCACACACTGTCTGAGACATTCACACACACAGTCCCTGGGTAGCACACACTAATAAAGCAACATGTTTGTGTTCTACTGAGTCTCAGTTTTCTCAGCATTCATGCAATACTTTACTACTGACTAGCCAAGCCCTATTCTCCTGACTGATACTGCAAAAACAAGTCAGTTTTGCAAAACAAAAACATTAGAATATGACAACCTGAATGTGGACATTTGAAATTCCAACTAATGTGTGACCATGACAACGATGGCAACATGACAGCTATGGCTACATGACAACTACAAGACAACTATGGCTACATGACAACTACATGACAACTATGGCTACATGACAACTACATGACAACTATGGCTACATGACAACTACATGACAACTACATGACAGCTATGGCTACATGACAACTACATGACAACTACATGACAACTATGGCTACATGACAACTACAAGACAACTATGGCTACATGACAACTACATGACAACTATGGCTACATGACAACTACATGACAACTATGGCTACATGACAACTACATGACAACTACATGACAACTACATGACAACTATGGCTCCATGACAACTACATGACAACTGTTCGTGAGAGAACAAAGACGTATTAGTGTCTTGAGATAATTTAATCCGCTGCAATCGACGAGAAATACACAAATGGGCTTTGAGATTGAGTTGTGATTGTGTTTTACCCATCATTACTTTGTTTTTCTTCGTGACTGGCATGCGAAATCAACGGCGACATGCAATCCTCTCCATAATAATCAACACAAGGGAGATAACTCAAAGTTAATTATAACGGACTACCGCACAAAAGAAATAATCAAATTAATGCTGGTCATTAACATAGCCACCCCCCTGACAGGGTCAAAAGCATTTGCTACCATTAATAACCTAAATGTCCAAGTAAAGAAATGATAATCAATAAATCTAGATGAATGTTCATAGGAAATCTGAGCTCTGTGTTCACTTTGAGCAAGTCCTACATCTAAGCGTCACTACACACAGATTCCTCAAGCACACACACCTTAGCCGCTGGTCTGATGTACTGACCATTTTTGGTTTGGACTTTCAAAGCTCGAACACGTCCATCATCGCCAGCGTAAACCTCGACGATCCTTGCCAAATCCCAATGTCCTCTGGGTTTAGCTTCGTCGACCACCAGAACGAGATCTCCAACTGAAACATTCTGAGATTCTGATCTCCAACACCTTCTCACAGTGAGCTCCGGCAAATATTCCTTTTGCCAGCGCTTGTACACATGATCCGCAATGACTTGAGCCTGTCTCCACCGTCGTCTACTATTGATTTCGTTATCATGAAAAACATCAGGTGGAGTACAAACATCAGCTCTCCCAAGAATAAAGTGATTCGGAGTAAGTGCCGTAAAGTCGCTTGGGCTAGTACTGTTGTAGGTCAGTGGCCTGCTGTTCAAGACAGCTTCAACTTCGATCAAGGCAACTCGAAGAACAGTTTCTCGAACACGGAGATTTTTTCAGGACTGACCTCAAGGCGGCTTTGACAGAACGCACTAACCTTTCCCATGCTCCACCAAAGTGAGGACTGAGAGGGGGATTAAAATGCCATTCAATCTTCATCGGGGTGAGGTAGTCAGCAATTTTGGTTTGCTGGATGTTCTGCAAACATTGATACAGTTCATTGTCTGCACCGCGGAAATTAGTGCCGTTGTCGCTATAAAGATGACCAGGATGTCCACGACGTCCTATGAAACTCCGAAGTACCAACAAAAATTCATCTGTCTCAAGTGAATTTGCAAGCTCAATGTGGACGGCTCTTGTTGAGAGACATGTAAATAGACAGCCCCACCTCTTCACTGTGCTTCTACGTTCCTTCACCATCAGTGGACCGAAATAATCAACTCCTGTATGAGCAAACACGCCTTCAAAGGCACTAATCCGACAAATAGGCACATCTGCCATCTTGACAATGGTGGGCTTTGCTCGTCTTCGGTGGCAATCACGGCAACTGCGTAGAACTTGTTTGGCTATTTTCCTTGCATTGACTGGCCAATATTGTTGTCTAACAAGTGCTATCATATGCTCTTGGCCACAATGTGCAGACTTGATATGCATATCTTCCATGATCAGGTGAGTCACTGGGTGATTGCCAGGCATGATTATCTGATACTTGGCTTCATTGGGAATCTGAGCTTTGCGCAGTCTTCCTCCAACTCTGATTAATCTACCGTCAAATGTCGGAGACAACGGAAAGAGTTTTGATTTCGCTGAGAGCCCCTGACCTGCTTCAAGATTAGCAAATTCCTCAGGGAACGCTTCCCTCTGTGTTTCTTCAATCAAGTGATACTCGACCTCTGTTCGCTCGCTCACTGTCATTGTTTTGTTGCGATTTGGTTTCAGTTCTCTGTGTTTCAGTGTTGACAGAAAGTTTCGAACTGCTCTTAAAGTCCATGCCGACAGGCCGACAAGTCGTTGCCAAGATGAAAAGTCAGCTGGATCCAAGATGCCCGACAGCTTGAGGCCTTGTAAGTCAGGAGCTGATTGATCTCGTTTGACAAGACTTTTCATCACACATTTGCCTTTGATTTCTGGGTCATTCCCAGGTGTGTGTCCTGGAATCTCATGTAAAGGCCAGTTGTCTTCAGATGACCAGAGGAATTCTGGTCCATGAAACCATGGATGAGATTGTGTTAGGCTGCATGCATGCAGTCCTCTTGTTGAGTGGTCAGCTGGATTGTCCACACTTGCAACATGACGCCACTGCTTACAGTCGCTTGAGTCAAGGATTTCCGACACTCTGTTGGCTACGAATGGCTTGAAGCGTTTCGTTTCATTGTTCAGATATTGTAGCACAGTATTCGAATCTGTCCAGAACACAACTCTTTCTATTTTCAGGTCCAGCTCTTTTTTCAGCACAACCCACAAACGGATTGCTAAAACTGCCCCTTGAAGTTCCAGCCTGGGTATCGTCAACTGTGGAGTTAATGGTGCAACATGAGTCTTTGCAGCCAGGAATGAGCATGTATTTGTCCCGGAATTAAGCAAGTACCGAAGATATGCTACAGCACCGTATCCTTTCTCTGAAGAGTCAGCAAATACATGCACTTCTACATGATCAAACTGTGACGAGAACAGCAGGTGATGCCTGGGTAAATTGAAATCGTGTAACTGTTCCAGCTCGCTGTGCCATACTTCCCATTTTGCTTGGATATCTATTGGAAGTGTATCATCCCAATCGAGACCACGTCGCCATATTTCTTGGATCATGAATTTGGCGCGGATGGTGAATGGAGCAAGATATCCGCATGGATCGAATATTGAACAAACAGTACTGACTACAGCTCTTTTAGTGTTTGTCACATCCCTATGTGTGGGATTGAATGTAAAGCAGTCCTGCTCAACATTCCAGCGCAGTCCTAGAGCGCGTTGCAGGGGTTGTTCATCTAAATCAAAGTCTTTAGGCTGATTTGCTTTTTGACTTTCAGGAATGACAGCAAGGACTTTCTCTGAGTTTGAGACCCACTTATGTAAATGAAAACCACCCTTTTGCATCAGATTTGGTAGGTCCTGTGTCATCTGGATCGCTTCAGCTACAGTTTCAACTGACTTCACCAGATCGTCAACGTAGAAGTCTCTGGAAACAGCCTTGATCACTGATGGATGAAATTCATTTGCGTTGTCGCGAGCAGTTTGCTGGAGTGCATAACATGCACAAGAACATGAATCGGTGGCTCCAAAGATGTGGACAAGCATTTTGTAGACATCAGGTGGACCAGGTTGCTGGTTGTCGGCTTTCCATAAGAATCTTAGTGAGTCTGAGTCATGTTCAAAAACTCTTACTTGGTGGAACATGCCTTCCACATCAGCCATGAGGGCAATTTGATATAACCTGAACCTCTGAATCACTCCAAACAAGTTATTCACTAAATCTGGGCCACTCAACAGATTGTCATTTAATGATGTTCCGGCATATGCTGCAGCCGCATCAAAAACTACCCTCACCTTGCCAGACTTATTTGGGCTTGTGACTCCATGGTGCGGTATATACCACGTTCGTGGTGAAACACTGGCTATTTCCTCCTGCATGAGTTTTCGTGCATGACCATTTGATATATAGCCATTCAGAGTGTTGCTGTACTTGATCCCGAAATCTTTATCATGCATTAGTCTCTTTGCCAAGAGCTTGAATCGTTTCTCCGCAGCAGCATAGTTGTTCGGGAGAATGCAATCCGCCTTTTTCCAGAGCATACCAACTTGGTAATGTCCATCCACTAAACAGGTAGTCTCTTTCAGGATGTGTTCTGCTTTTCGATCATCAATGGACGATGATTGCTTCTTGTCATACGCAGCTCCAAAGGACTCAGTTTTCCAGAATCGCTCAACACTCTCGTGTATTTCCAGATCGCGTGTAATTGTGAGATTGACACTGGCTTGGACTTCCTGAGCAGCACTACTTTCACTACTTGCCACCCCCATGAGTGACCATCCCAGGGCAGTGCGAACAGCAACTGGTTCATCTTTTTGTCCCTCAATGACTTCAACTTGCAAGTGTGCCTCAGGAATGTTTAAGCCAATCAACATCTTGATTTGTGCTGGTTCAACTGAGGGTATGTCTAGGTGTTTGATATGCTTCCAGTCTGGATTCACGCACTGAGGTCGGCAGTCAAAAGCATTGGATTTGACTGTCCATGCTTCTTTTACATGAATGTTGGAGGCATCAAGCATATTTGCTGATGTAATGTTAAGGGAAACTCTGCTTGATGGCTCTGTAGTTATACTATTACATGTTTTCATCTTAAGAGTTTGCCGTTCTCCTTTGATTCCCAAATCCTGCACAAACTCATCATGAATCAAGGTGACATCGCTGGCAGAATCTAACAATGCAAAAGTTTTCATAACTCTACCACTCTGTCCATACGCAAGAATTGGCACAATCTGAAAGAACACTGTGTTTCCAAATGACTGCATCTTCTTGTTTATTGCTTCAACTGTTTCTGGATTATTTCGATGCAACATTGTGTGATGTCTCTTGCCACATCCTGGTTCTCGGCATGCCATCAAAGAGAAACACTTATCTGCTGTGTGAGAGGGTTTCAAGCAGTTGAAACAAAGCTTATTCTCAGTGACGACAGTACTTCGTTCAGGAACAGGCTTGTTTGAAAACAGTGGACAGTGATATAGATAATGAGGCTGTTTACACATTGGGCATGGTAACTTTGAACGACTGTCATATTGCTTGACTGAACCTTTTCGAGTAAGCGGAGTCTTACTGTTTTGTATGTCAGTCATGGAAACCGTCGTAGCATATACTGTGCTTTGTCTTTCAGGTCCCTTGTACCCTGAAGATCCGTTATGTTTAGACAATTTCCTTTGGGTTGATGTATGAGCAGCGAATGCAATGGCATATGGGTTGAAATCTGCATCTACCCTGTCCCTTAGCCAATTGTTGAGATCATACAGGTTGGGTTCTCTAGTTCTTGTGATGTGTCGCACAAACTCATTCCATTTTGTGATTTTGTCATTTGGTAAACGTCTTGCAATTCTGAGCACCATATCTGGGCTGTGTAATTCAGACAAATACTGAAATTGCTCAAGTGTTGTAATGCAGTCCCGAATAGTAACGTAGAACTTTCGAAGAGATGATGGGTCGTGACTTGCAATCATCGATCCTGAGGTCACTCTTTCCAAGAAAGCTCTTGCGACCTTGATACGATGGCCGAAGGCACGCTTTAACTCTTGTAGTGCTAAAGCATAGTTGCGACCTGAAGATCCTAGCCCTTGCACAAGGTGTTTTGCATCCCCTTCCAAACGAGACTGAAGTAAGTCCATTCGCCGAACATCAAATATTCCGGGTCGAGTATGTACTTGCGCATGAAACCGCTCGATGAAACAAGGCCATTCAATAGCTTTACCACTAAACTTCGGTAAGTCAATCTTAGGCAGATCGCGCTCGCTCTCTAGCTTGATAAGAGCATGAGTTAGGTGATCTTTATCTGAAGAATTCACCTCGGATATCGTTTCTTGTCCAAGAATGAGGTGATCTATCCATGCGTCAATCGGTTCGTATGGTTGACGGTTTTGCACAGTGACAGGAGGTCGAGATACCTCGAAACTGGGAACATGTATGTTGAGTTGTGTTGGTTGTGATCTGAGTGTTTCTTTCATACTTGGGGTAAGTGCTTCTGAATGAGGGTTTTGTTGATCCACGTTACTACACTTGACAGCACCATCAGATGCTTCCAACCACTTCTGAATATATTCCTGTTTTCCATGTTCCTGAAAATGAGTTTTCTTATCAGCCACATTACTACCTATTTCAAGCATGTCTTCACGCATTTTCACCTCCAAATCTGCCATATCCTTTCTGTGTGTTGCTTCCTGCTTGACTTGTGTGGCCTGCATTTCAGCAATTTGCTTAGACTGATTTACATGAAGTTCAGTCATTTTTGCAGCAAGTTTTGCTGCTTCCTCAGCAAAAAATGCTTTCAGTTTTGCTTGTTCAGCTTTAAACACCATATTTGTATTGCTGCTCTTTCCTTGGCTGTAATTGTCATTTTCACTTTCAATTGATCTAGTGTCACCTTGTGAGCTTATCACAGACAGTGACTTAACAGATTTGCTCACTAAAATGTCTCCAATTTCTTCCAGTGCTTTATTTGCAATTTCCTGCCTTTCCTTAAACCAATCCATTGCCTGCTGGCTTTCTGTTTCACCATGCAACACTGACAAATACTGCCTATGGGCATCATACAGAGCTTTTACCGCCGCTTCAATTTTGTTGCATGTCACTGATAATGTTCGTTTCGACCTCTTTTCCGTAATTTGAGACCTTGCTGTATTAATAATTGCCGTCAAACGAGCAGCATAACCACTCCTAGCATACTTCAAGTCTTGTTTTTCTGTGTTAAACTCGTATCTATCGCGATGAATTCCCTTTGTCGATCTACTAGACCGTCTTGGCAAACCAGGCTCAGAACGAGTGCTTCGCAAGTGTTTAGAATCAAATTCAGCATTAAGTGACAGTTTTGGTGGCCCACCTTTTGTAGATTCCATCTTTAAAGGATAACTGAAAGTTCCAACACTTCTGTGCTAAATGAGAGGAATGAACTGTGTTTGAATGTTGCAAGGGGTTCAGTTTTCGCGCACATGAAGAAAAACCTTTTGTTCGTGAGAGAACAAAGACGTATTAGTGTCTTGAGATAATTTAATCCGCTGCAATCGACGAGAAATACACAAATGGGCTTTGAGATTGAGTTGTGATTGTGTTTTACCCATCATTACTTTGTTTTTCTTCGTGACTGGCATGCGAAATCAACGGCGACATGCAATCCTCTCCATAATAATCAACACAAGGGAGATAACTCAAAGTTAATTATAACGGACTACCGCACAAAAGAAATAATCAAATTAATGCTGGTCATTAACAACAACTATGGCTCCATGACAAATGTCCAAAGTCTTCACCCAGTTTATAACATTCAGCAAAAAGGGCAGCACTCAGACAAATTGGGGTGATTACAGTTCCTCCTGACACAAACTAAGTACATGGCAGCTCCCTGAGGGGGTCACGTTCACAGACACAAGGGGGTGCTCCACAAGCAGTCCGGCTATTGTCAGACATACTGGAGTAATGATCACGCAGAGGACACCATCACGTAATATTGCCGGCAGATCAATGGGCACACACCACCACCCATCAGATTGACTGCATGCATTGCTGGAATAGTAATCGGGAATCTGACCTCATAATCAAGTACTGCATATCCTTGAATAAACACTAGTCCTTGGGAAAACCATAAGACCCAGCATTTATTTCAGGAAGGCTTTTATATTCTTCAGAGAGATGGCATCATCAGTCTCATGCTCAGAAAGTAACATACACTCCATGCCTATTGCTGTATTGAAGTCTCTGGCTCAGAAAGTAACATACACTCCATGCCTATAGCTGTATTGAAGTCTCTTGCTCAGAAAGTTACATACACTCATGCCTATTGCTGTATTGAAGTCTCTTGCTCAGAAAGTTACATACACTCCATGCCTATAGCTGTATTGAAGTCTCATGCTCAGAAAGTTACATACACTCCGTGCCTATAGCTGTATTGAAGTCTCTTGCTCAGAAAGTTACATACACTCCATGCCTATTGCTGTATTGAAGTCTCTTGCTCAGAAAGTTACATACACTCCATGCCTATTGCTGTATTAAAGACTCTTGCTCAGAAAGTTACATACACTCTATGCCTATTGCTGTATTGAAGTCTCATACTCAGAAAGTTACATACACCCCATGCCTATAGCTGTATTGAAGTCTCTTGCTCAGAAAGTTACATACACTCTATGCCTATTGCTGTATTGAAGTCTCTTGCTCAGAAAGTTACATACACCCCATGCCTATTGCTGTATTTAAGTCTCTTGCTCAGAAAGTTACATACACTCCATGCCTATAGCTGTATTGAAGTCTCTTGCTCAGAAAGTTACATACACTCTATGCCTATTGCTGTATTGAAGTCTCTTGTTCAGAAAGTTACATACACTCCATGCCTATAGCTGTATTGAAGTCTCTTGCTCAGAAAGTTACATACACTCCATGCCTATTGCTGTATTGAAGTCTCTTGCTCAGAAAGTTACATACTCTCCATGCCTACTGCTGTATTGAAGTCTCTTGCTCAGAAAGTTACATACACTCCATGCCTATTGCTGTATTGAAGTCTCTTGCTCAGAATGTTACATACAATCCATGCCTATTGCTGTATTGAAGTCTCTTGCTCAGAAAGTTACATACACTCCATGCCTATTGCTGTATTGAAGTCTCTTGCTCAGAAAGTTACATACACTCATGCCTATAGCTGTATTGAAGTCTCTTGCTCAGAAAGTTACATACACTCCATGCCTATTGCTGTATTGAAGTCTCTTGCTCAGAAAGTTACATACACTCTATGCCTATTGCTGTATTGAAGTCTCTTGCTCAGAAAGTTACATACACCCCATGCCTATTGCTGTATTTAAGTCTCTTGCTCAGAAAGTTACATACACTCCATGCCTATAGCTGTATTGAAGTCTCTTGCTCAGAAAGTTACATACACTCTATGCCTATTGCTGTATTGAAGTCTCATACTCAGAAAGTTACATACACTCTATGCCTATTGCTGTATTGAAGTCTCATACTCAGAAAGTTACATACACCCCATGCCTATTGCTGTATTGAAGTCTCTTGCTCAGAAAGTTACATACACTCCATGCCTACTGCTGTATTGAAGTCTCTTGCTCAGAAAGTTACATACACTCTATGCCTATTGCTGTATTGAAGTCTCATACTCAGAAAGTTACATACACTCTATGCCTATTGCTGTATTGAAGTCTCATACTCAGAAAGTTACATACACCCCATGCCTATTGCAGTATTGAAGTCTCTTGCTCAGAAAGTTACATACACTCCATGCCTACTGCTGTATTAAAATATATAATTTCAACCACATGACAAACACAAGGAATAACTTCACTCCTTGATACATGGGGCATTTTTCACAAATGTGGAGAGCACTAGTGATGTGATATTGTTCAATAGTGACATGGTGATGACTGAAGACAAGACTGACAAGGTCTGGGCAGAGGTCATTTGCCGACAATGCTGCACTTCTATGGAACCATCTCCCATCACATGTGAAAGAAGTAGAAACTCTGACAATCTTCCAGTCCCGTTTCAAGACATTCCTGTTCAGACAAGTCCATCAAATCTAAAATCAACACCAACTGCCACATCTATTTGTCTTGTGTCTATGGCCTTGTATCAGCAGAGTTTTCCCTTGTTTTGTGCAGCGCTGTGAGCATTCACCTATGGAATTATGCTCTTAACAATTATTATTAGTAGTATTATTGTTATTGTGGTTGTTGTTGGGCTCATCATCAGCTCAGAGCCCTTGCCCCCGCTACACGCAGCCTAGACAGCCAATGGAACTTCTCCCAGGAAGCCCTGCCTCGTCCAACCCACCCAGAACATTTTGGAGAATGGGAAGACTCCCCAACACTGCAGCCTTCTGTATTACCCAGATTGTCAGAAGGGCTGTATTCCTGGTAGCAAACACGGATACTCTCCCAATGTCAGTCAACAGATTTGGAGGTACCAAATCTAAGGCACCGAGAACAATGGGGAGTCGGACAACTTGGTACTTGGGATGCAAGCGTGACATTTCAAGCAAGGTCTGCCTATTTGCCATGTTTTTCCTCAATCTTGTCAAACACATTTCAGTCAAAAGGGGCAGAAAGTTCAATAACATAAATGATTTCATTAGATTAATCAAAAAGGACAAGATCAGGTTTGTTGGGCTGGATATGTCTGAGGCTGTATACGGGCAAATTCCAAAGATTTTTGTATTAATCATTTTCCATGACGGTAATAAAATGATCGAGCCACTTCATCATGTTTCTTAAGATACTGTTTTTGTGCCCAAGCTGGGCATCTACTGACAATGTGTTGAACAGTCTCATTAAATTCATTGCATAATCTACATTTCATATTTACATTTTGATGCAAAATCACACATTGACGGTTTCGAGTGGGAAGTGACTGGTCCTGAGCAGCAAACAGAAAGCCTTGTGATTCACTTTTCAGGCCAGCCGACTTCATCCACGCAAAGGACTCTGCAGGATTCCTGATCTCCTCAACACACTGCACATAAACATAATGCAGTAGTCGTTCAGATAGCCTCTCCTTTAAAAACTAAGTGACATGGCACTTCGCTTGGTTAACACTGATTTCTGTCCCGTCCAGCAGTACAGAACCATCAACAAATTTATCATTGACGTTGAGATTTTGTCCAACATCTTTGGCTTCTTTACGAAAACTTTGGAATGCCTTGTTTTCATCAAGAGTCTTGACTTGCTTCACAAGAGGATCATCAGACAAATAAAAGTGTGCAAAAATGCACAAAATAATGAAGAGCCTCAACGATAATCAAACCTTGACCTCCCATTATGATTGGTAAATGTAAGCAATTGAGAGAAGAGCGAGGGTGGTGGGACCTATTGTCTGACATGATTCTTTGTGTGAGGGTGTCAATACCCTAAATTTCTTGTTTCGTCCAATCAACAACACCAAAAGAATACGAAAAGATGGGTACAGCATAAGTATTTGTGGCTTTAATTTCATTGAAAGCGTTCAGTTCTGAACTCTGCCTGAGGTTTTCCATTATTATTATTATTATTATTATTATTATTATTATTACAGTTATATCACAGTAACCCTATCCTAGAGAAGACATTTTTCATGTTTAATGATAAGGCATCATTAGTTTGTGGGAATTATGACCACAGTTAAATGCTTCAGTAAACAATACATCAGTTTGTGACCTTAACCTTTGACCTTTTCATGACATATAGCAAAACCAATCCAAGGACCATGTGTCATGTGGAAGATGTCATGTGGAAGATGTCATGTGGAAGATGTCATGTGTCTTCTCATGTCAATAATCATGGCATAGTAATCACAAATTCTGACAAACCACGATCTGGGTCCAGTGCCACAACATTGCTCCTGGTCCCTGAACGTGGTTGCTAGGATACAGAGAAGACTAATGAATAAAAATCATGTTCACATAAAATGGTATATTTTGTTTTCTTCAGTTTTAGCAGAAATAAGTCAGATATTGCCCAAAATAGCTTTATATTTATGTACATTATATAAAATGAGATCGCCAGAGATGTAACACTCAGGTCATGTGACCTAAGATATAATTTATCTTACAACTGTACTATTGGTCATGTGGCCTGAATTACGACATAAACTTGATTGACCGAGATACAGTATATTATTATTATTAGAAACACGCTTATAACAATCTGATGGATATAAAAATCTATTTGTTTTTATTATATAGTGACCTCACTTTGTGGTCCCGTGTGTACTGTCAATAACAATGTTTATGTCAACAATGACCTGTTAATCTCGGAGCTGGTCACAGCATCCTCAGCCTAGTGAGGTCAGTGATTAACTGGAGTGAGTGAGTGAGTATGGTTTTACGCCGCTTTTAGCAATATTCCAGCAATATCAGGGCGGGGGACACCAGAAAAGGACTTCACACTTTGTACCCATGTCAGGAATCGAGCCCGGGTCTTCGGCTTGCTGAGCGAACGCTATAACCACTAGGCTACCCGACCGCCCCTGATTAACTGGATAAAGTGCTGACACCATGGAGATCCACGACCACAGTGTCACAGTCTGACTGAACATGACCCACAAGAGGAAAAGGCTGAGCAGCTTCAGCAAGATCTATGAGTGAGTCTTGATGCCTTTAAGCCGCTTTTAGCAATATTCCAGCAATCTCACGGCGGGGAACACCAGAAATGGGCTTCACACATTGTACCCTTGTGGGGAATCGAACCAAGGCCTTTGGCATGACAAGTGAACGCTTTGACCACTTGGCTACCCGACTGCCCAGTAATGTCTTTGACAAGAAACAAGCACATGCGGTACCGTTCCCAGATGTCTGACAGTCAAATGCTTACAACAAACTACTGTCATAACGAATTAAAATTAGTGGTCCCTTTGAGTTCGTTATAACTCATGGGCGGATACAGCTTTTTTGAAAAGGGGGGTGCACAATTAAGATCTATTATTGTCTTTGGTGGTAATTTATACAGAAATAAAGATTTTTTTCGAAATAAAAAGGGTGTGTGTGCACCCCTGCACCCCCTCCTCTGTATCCCCCCATGTAACTGTATCAATTAACAATTATCTGTTGGCTTCCATTGTTAAGTTTCCACCTTTGTCATCTTATTACTTTTGTTGTTCTTACAGGTACATATCTATTAGGGCTGGGATGGGTAACTCAGGTACTCGGGTCGGGTGGGTACTGAGTATGACCCAGGTATTCACAGGACTACCCGGACCCGTGGTTAGTCACCTGATATATTGTTTAATGACAAAACTTATTTAAAACTCTTTGGTTACACTATAAGTCTCTAATGTTCCCATATCTTTCTGACAATGCACCCATTCCTTCTGACTTTTATATGTTTGAGTAAAGATAAAACTCACACAGTAAACTTCAGTGTATGCATGATCAGATCATTTTACAGGTTTATCTAAATTCATTTTGCCAGGGCTACAGTCAAACTTTTCCCAATCGGACAGTTTGTACCTCTATCTTGATATCAACAGCAGGTACCTGGGTATGGTCGGGTAATAGGGTGGTGGGTACCCGGGTAGTAAATTTGGACTCATCCCAGCTCTGATATATATGTTCTCTGCCTCATAAGATTTATTCACCTGATGAAGGAGTAAGCATATACTCCAAAACGTTGTGTTCCTCATAATAAAGAAGTTGACATCCATAAATACTCTTCCTTATGTGTATCACTTCTAAATGCCTTTCAAAAACTAGGAGATCATGCCCCCCCCTCCCCTCAGCAGTACCCAAACACACCCAGCATTAACACAACAAACATTATGATAATTCTAAAATTGAAAATATGCAGCAGAGTGTTAATAAAACCGGGAATATTGATTCCCTTCTCGTGAGTCTTGGGACATAATCATCTCCCTGAAGCTGTTAATTGATAAATGATAAACAATTTGAACACTGTAAAGCTGCATCATGCTGCAATCTAGCAGCAACAGCAGCAGTAACAGCAGCAACACCCCCACGACATCACCCCTCCAACGTGCTGCCGGCATGAGCACTGAGAGGGATGTATGCTACCCTGCAGTGTGGTGACTATATACATATTGCAGTACTTACGCTGCCAAGCGTTCCTGGGTCTACAAACAGTCAGGTTCTCCGGAGATTTCATAGCTCATCTCCATTAAAATCACTAATGCCTCCTTCATGGTTCTCCCTCTCATGGCACTGTGTCTACCATGACTGGGCTGGCAAGACGCTGTACACAAACCCAGGCGGAACTTACGTAAATAATCAATAACTGCAGCGTCTCCCACCTCCCTTGTCCTCCTCGTGAGCCAAAGTGTTTAGACACAGTCTACACCACCAGCCAGACACAGTCTACACCACCAGCCAGACACAGTCCACACCACCAGCCAGACACAGTCTACACCACCAGCCAGACACAGTCTACACCACCAGCCAGACAGTCTACACCACCAGCCAGACACAGTCTACACCACCAGCCAGACACAGTCTACACCACCAGCCAGACAGTCTACACCACCAGCCAGACACAGTCTACACCACCAGCCAGACACAGTCTACACCACCAGCCAGACACAGTCTACACCACCAGCCAGACACAGTCTACACCACCAGCCAGACAGTCTACACCACCAGCCAGACAGTCTACACCACCAGTCAGACACAGTCTACACCACCAGCCAGACACAGTCTACACCACCAGCCAGACAGTCTACACCACCAGCCAGACACAGTCTACACCACCAGCCAGACACAGTCTACACCACCAGCCAGACAGATTACACCACCAGCCAGACACAGTCTACACCACCAGCCAGACACAGTCTACACCACCAGCCAGACAGTCTACACCACCAGCCATACACAGTCTACACCACCAGCCAGACAGTCTACACCACCAGCCAGACAGTCTACACCACCAGCCAGACAGTCTACACCACCAGCCAGACAGTCTACACCACCAGCCAGACACAGTCTACACCACCAGCCAGACAGTCTACACCACCAGCCAGACACAGTCCACACCACCAGCCAGACAGTCTACACCACCAGCCAGACACAGTCTACACCACCAGCCAGACACAGTCTACACCACCAGCCAGACACAGTCTACACCACCAGCCAGACACAGTCTACACCACCAGCCAGACAGTCTACACCACCAGCCATACACAGTCTACACCACCAGCCAGACACAGTCTACACCACCAGCCAGACAGTCTACACCACCAGCCAGACAGTCTACACCACCAGCCAGACACAGTCTACACCACCAGCCAGACACAGTCCACACCACCAGCCAGACACAGTCCACACCACCAGCCAGACACAGTCTACACCACCAGCCAGACACAGTCTACACCAACCAGCCAGACACAGTCTACACCACCATCCAGACACAGTCTACACCAACCAGCCAGACACAGTCTACACCACCAGCCAGACACAGTCTACACCACCAGCCAGACACAGTCTACACCACCAGCCAGACACAGTCTACACCACCAGCCAGACAGTCTACACCACCAGCCAGACACAGTCTACACCACCAGCCAGACAGTCTACACCACCAGCCAGACAGTCTACACCACCAGCCAGACACAGTCTACACCACCAGCCAGACACAGTCTACACCACCAGCCAGACAGATTACACCACCAGCCAGACACAGTCTACACCACCAGCCAGACACAGTCTACACCACCAGCCAGACAGTCTACACCACCAGCCAGACACAGTCTACACCACCAGCCAGACACAGTCTACACCAACCAGCCAGACACAGTCTACACCACCATCCAGACACAGTCTACACCACCAGCCAGACAGTCTACACCACCAGCCAGACACAGTCTACACCACCAGCCAGACACAGTCTACACCACCAGCCAGACACAGTCTACACCACCAGCCAGACACAGTCTACACCACCAGCCAGACAGTCTACACCACCAGCCAGACACAGTCTACACCACCAGCCAGACAGTCTACACCACCAGCCAGACAGTCTACACCACCAGCCAGACACAGTCTACACCACCAGCCAGACACAGTCTACACCACCAGCCAGACACAGTCTACACCACCAGCCAGACACAGTCTACACCACCAGCCAGACACAGTCTACACCACCAGCCAGACACAGTCTACACCAACCAGCCAGACACAGTCTACACCACCATCCAGACACAGTCTACACCACCAGCCAGACAGTCTACACCACCAGCCAGACACAGTCTACACCACCAGCCAGACACAGTCTACACCACCAGCCAGACACAGTCTACACCACCAGCCAGACACAGTCTACACCACCAGCCAGACACAGTCTACACCACCAGCCAGACACAGTCTACACCACCAGCCAGACAGTCTACACCACCAGCCAGACACAGTCTACACCACCAGCCAGACAGTCTACACCACCAGCCAGACAGTCTACACCACCAGCCAGACACAGTCCACACCACCAGCCAGACACAGTCTACACCACCAGCCAGACACAGTCTACACCACCAGCCAGACACAGTCTACACCACCAGCCAGACAGTCCACACCACCAGCCAGACACAGTCTACACCACCAGCCAGACACAGTCCACACCACCAGCCAGACACAGTCTACACCACCAGCCAGACACAGTCTACACCACCAGCCAGACACAGTCTACACCACCAGCCAGACAGTCTACACCACCAGCCAGACACAGTCTACACCACCAGCCAGACACAGTCTACACCACCAGCCAGACACAGTCCACACCACCAGCCAGACACAGTCTACACCACCAGCCAGACACAGTCTACACCACCAGCCAGACAAACACCCTGTTGGACCACCAGACACCCAGTCAGACATCAGTCACACATACAGTCAGACACCCAGTAAGACACCAAGCTAGACATCAAGCTAGACACCCAGTCACACATCCAGTAACACATCAAGCAAGACACCCAGTCACACATCCAGTAACACATCCAGTAAAACATCAAGCAAGACACCCAGTCACACATCCAGTAACACATACAGTCAGACACCCAGTGAGAAATCCATATGTTCCTCATGCGCTAGTCAAGCATAACATGGTATTCTATACCCCTCCTGCACTGGTCAAGGTTAACACAGTATTATATACCCCTCCTGCACTGGTCAAGGTTAACACAGTATTATACACCCCTCCTGCACTGGTCAAGGTTAACAGTATTATACACCCCTCCTGCACTGGTCAAGGTTAACACAGTATTATACACCCCTCCTGCACTGGTCAAGGTTAACAGTATTATATACCCCTCCTGGACTGGTCAAGGTTAACACAGTATTATACACCCCTCCTGCACTGGTCAAGGTTAACACAGTATTATACACCCCTCCTGCACTGGTCAAGGTTAACACAGTATTATACACCCCTCCTGCACTGGTCAAGGTTAACAGTATTATATACCCCTCCTGCACTGGTCAAGGTTAACACAGTATTATACACCCCTCCTGCACTGGTCAAGGTTAACAGTATTATACACCCCTCCAGCACTGGTCAAGGTTAACACAGTATTATACACCCCTCCTGCACTGGTAAAGATTAACAGTATTATACACCCCTCCTGCACTGGTCAAGGTTAACACAGTATTATACACCCCTCCTGCACTGGTAAAGGTTAACAGTTTTATACACCCCTCCTGCACTGGTCAAGGTTAACAGTATTATACACCCCTCCTGCACTGGTCAAGGTTAACACAGTATTATACACCCCTCCTGCACTGGTCAAGGTTAACAGTATTATACACTCCTCCTGCACTGGTCAAGGTTAACACAGTATTATATACCCCTCCTGCACTGGTCAAGGTTAACACAGTATTATACACCCCTCCTGCACTGGTCAAGGTTAACAGTATTATACACCCCTCCTGCACTGGTCAAGGTTAACACAGTATTATACACCCCTCCTGCACTGGTCAAGGTTAACAGTATTATATACCCCTCCTGGACTGGTCAAGGTTAACACAGTATTATACACCCCTCCTGCACTGGTCAAGGTTAACAGTATTATACACCCCTCCTGCACTGGTCAAGGTTAACACAGTATTATACACCCCTCCTGCACTGGTCAAGGTTAACAGTATTATATACCCCTCCTGCACTGGTCAAGGTTAACACAGTATTATACACCCCTCCTGCACTGGTCAAGGTTAACAGTATTATACACCCCTCCAGCACTGGTCAAGGTTAACACAGTATTATACACCCCTCCTGCACTGGTAAAGATTAACAGTATTATACACCCCTCCTGCACTGGTCAAGGTTAACACAGTATTATACACCCCTCCTGCACTGGTAAAGGTTAACAGTTTTATACACCCCTCCTGCACTGGTCAAGGTTAACAGTATTATACACCCCTCCTGCACTGGTCAAGGTTAACACAGTATTATACACCCCTCCTGCACTGGTCAAGGTTAACAGTATTATACACTCCTCCTGCACTGGTCAAGGTTAACACAGTATTATATACCCCTCCTGCACTGGTCAAGGTTAACACAGTATTATACACCCCTCCAGCACTGGTCAAGGTTAACGCAGTATTATATATCCCTCCTGCACTGGTCAAGGTTAACAGTATTATATACCCCTCCTGCACTGGTCAAGGTTAACACAGTATTATACTCCCCTCCTGCACTGGTCAAGGTTAACGCAGTATTATATATCCCTCCTGCACTGATCAAGGTTAACAGTATTATATACCCCTCCTGCACTGGTCAAGGTTAACGCAGTATTATACTTGTCTCCTGCACGGGTCAAGGTTAAAAGTATTATATACTCCTCCTGTACTGGTCAAGGTTAACAGTATTATATACCCCTCCTGCACTGGTCAGGGTTAACAGTATTATACACCCCTCCTGCACTGGTCAAGGTTAATGCAGTATTATACACCCCTCCTGCACTGGTCAAGGTTAACAGTATTATACACCCCTCCTGCACTGGTCAAGGTTAACGCAGTATTATACACCCCTCCTGCACTGGTCAAGGCTTACAAAGTATTAGATACCCATTCTGAACTGGTCAAGGTTAACGCGGTATTAGGTTATCAAAACAACACATCACTGAATTTTACTTCACTAATTGGTTGCTGAAAGCCAATAAAACCCTCCTGCCTGTCTGGGCTGTGGGGTAGCCTTGTGGCTAAAGTGCTCGCTCGTCACGCTGAAGACCCCAGGTTGAATTGCCCTCATGGGTACAATGTGTTGAGCCCATTTCTGGTGTCCCCTGCCCAAATATTGCTTTCTGGTGTCCCCTGTCCATATATTGCTAAAAGTGGCGTAAAACCTCACAAACAAACGAACGAACGAATGACTGTGTCCCTGACAGTGTTGGACTCATTGATCACCGCAACCAATATTGCAAAAATAATTAAATGACTCTCTTCATCAGCATTCAGAGAAGGTCCATGAATGATTATTGCAGTAGGTTGGGTGTGTGACACCACTATGCTCCGAAATGCTAAATAACTGTACAGACAAACCCACAGTCAGAGCATCTGTGGCAGTGTTGTATATGTGTGTATTTTCTGTATTTTCTATATTTGTATACATATAATTACATGTAATGAAATGGTGTTTTAAACTTTTATTACGTTGCATTTAATTAAATAAACCTGTATGGCTGCTGTATTCTACAGCTCTGCGGCAGAGTAATGACTTAATCTATTCGTGGAGTATTCTTTTATTTAACTTCTACTGGTTGTGGGGAAGGGTAGGTAGCTTGGGTCGGTCCTTTGGTTAACTCAGCTTTAGGCCTGATTGGCCTTGTTTCAAAGACTAACACCCAGCATGTAACCAGCACACCAGCCACTACACCTTGACCATGCAGACAACAAATATCTGCTTTGTGTGGTATTTTCAACTGAGATCGTTCTAACAGGTGAGGTGAGGTGAAATGGGGTTTAATGTTGCGTCCAAGATTATTGCACTTAAAGAGTGACGTGCATGTACGTGTGTGTTTGTGTGGCTACTTGTACTAGTCCGGACTGATGCCGATTTATAGTGCTAGCCCATTGAGATACCATGCCGCAGTTAACATGAATACCCCACTCAGACACAGTATACTGACTCCGATCCGACCAGTCCTTGTTTTAGCCCCTTAATTCCGAGCGCCAGACAGGGTAACAACAAGTACCATCTTTTAACGTCTTTTGGTATGACGTGGTCGGGGATCGAACCCCGGACCTTCCGCTCTCCGGGCGGACGCCCTACCACTAGACCACGGAGGCGGTCTCGTTCTAACAGGTTAGTTATGTTTCTATATGTATTGTTATAATGTATAATGTAATTGCAGCCATTAAAATGTTTTAACTGGGTCAGTAAGTTCTGAGAGAAATCCAGCAGTGGATATCTTTACGTTTCCTGAATGTTTCATTTGAGAATGAGTGAGCGAGTGCGTATGTATTTATGATGTATGTGTTTGCTTATGACTATGTTCTTTATGTATAATGTAAAGCATTCACAGGTATGTTATGTGTAATATATATGTATGTTATGTGTTAATAAGTATATTTGTCTTTGTATTTGTATTTAGATGCAGGCATCTTAGTCCTGTCAGTTTGTGTTGGTGAACGCAGTTCGCACCCCAGTTTCACCTCCAGGGTATGCTTGTATATTTTTGTGTATTAATGAAATTAATTAATTGCATGTGTAGCAGGGCGTGGAGTCATCCCACAGATGACATCCTTACCTTGTCAGCTTGCTGACTGGGTTAACCTCTTTGGTCATGTGGACAAGGCGTCCAGCCTGTGATCAGAAGGTTCGTGGTTCGAATCCCATCACGGGGGACGCGAAATTTTATGGCCGCTACACATGTATAGGGATACAAATGTAGATATAGTTATTGTGAATTATAACACATCCTTCAATGTATTTGTTAAAAGCATGAGTTCTTTCTATTTCTATGATGTCGATGGTGTGACGATGTGAATGAATATGATATGATATGACTGCATGTGAATGTGATGTGATCTTACATATTTATGTTTGTGTATATTTACATACATATATATATATAGAGGTTATCACGCGAGTGTGTTTGGGGATGGTAAATATCCTGCATTAGGAATAAACATTGTATTTAGCGAGCCTTGGCGAGCTAAATACATAGTGTTTATTCCTAATACAGGATATTTACCATCCCCAAACACACCCGCGTGATAACCTCTTTATCATGTAATGTCATTCTTTAATTCTGTGCTTTAAAATCGCTTTCCCTCTCTCACAAACATTACCGAAACATTGCGAGTTTTCCTGGAATGCGCGCATTAATATTTATTACGTCACAGGGTAAGTGATGTGTCAGAAGGACTGTGACAGTAGCCAATATAGTTCCAACTGAAATCTGTTTCATATACAGTGGCGAAGCAACTTATACGCAAAATAACAGTTGTTTTTAATTGCCTTTCGTGGCAATCCATCGGTCTGTCCGCTAGAGTAACTGCCCTTTGTCAAAGGGAAGCTACTCTAACCCTAGTCTATGAGTCACGGCCACGGTCAGACGTTGTTGACAGTCGGTCTGTCCTTTCATAACGTTAAGAAGTGTAGTCAGATGTACACACAGCGACAAATCGAAACAAGGTAACAGTTCAAACATATTTCGGCCGAATCCAACCATTTTGATTTGTGGAGAAGGTTTCAAGCCACAGAGGTCTACAAGCACAGATATGGCTACTGATCCCGCTTGGCTAGGCCTCGTGCCCTCGCAAAATTGTTTCGAAATTTATATCTCGAAAGTTGCCAAAACTTATAAAATGCCTTAGCTACGTCACGGTTAGACACTGATTTTCAGTATATTAGGCTGTTCGTTTGATAATGATAGCAATTATCCCTGTAGTTTATCCAGATTCACGATGGTTAATTCTGACTCG